AAAGCAATATGCTCCTGTAAAGACCTTTACCCTTGGAGACCCTATATAGGGTCATTATGAGTCATAATCAAATCATGGATGGGAGGTTGGTTTGGGTTTTTAAAAATATTTTCTTTTTAATTTTCTTCTTTAATCTTCAAAATACTTTTATGTACTTGAGGAAAATTAAGTCATTTGGGCTACACAATAACCCTATTAACTTCATTTCACAATAAGAACACTCAGGGTTAGCAAAGAATTGATAGAAAAGCCATTAACTGCCTAATACTTTGTCCCCAAGCCACAGCCCCGCTGTCCTATTTGCTTCATGGGACACTCCCCAATGACCACCACAACTTCAACTGAAAGAACCAAGCCAGAGACTGGCCTCAGCCAATCAGCTGTTCTTACCCTGGCCCCAACTCTCACCAGAGAGTCTACTTGTATAATAGTGAGAACTCTTGAACTTGGCCTCTTGGAGTTACTGGCAAGTCAATTAGCTTTCTAGGAAGACAAAGCTCCAGGAACTTAAGCTTTGGAGGGCAGCGAGGTGCCAGGAGAAGAAAAGAAAGCCGTCTCTGGAGAGGCATAAGGAAGTGGAACCAATACTGGTGATTCAGAGAAGAGAATTTGTGGGGCAAGCAAGCCAGAGACCTTAGACCTTGTCTAGTTCCCATGTGATCCACCTTCTACAGAGTATCTGCTCCTGCTTTGAAAATACACCTACTCCTCACTTGTCTACTCTATTAGAGCTTACATTTTGAACACCTGGTTTGCAGAAGCTGTGGATGACGAGAGGCAGAGAAAAAGAGGAAGACCTGGACAAGATGGATTGACACAGTGGCTGCAACAATGGGCTCTGGCATAAGAACAATTGTAAGGATGGTGCAGGATTGGGCAGTTTCATTCTCTTGTGCATAGGGATTGGTGCTGACTTTATGGGATTTAACAACATGGATGACAGTGAAAAACCAAAATCCACACTGAAGACAAACGTGTGCATAAGCAAATGTGGTGAAGAGAG